GGTTTGAGCTTTTTTGGCTATTTTAGCCACAAAAAATAAAATAGGTTATTTTAGCCATAACAAACAAAACATCACATCCAACCCATAATCATTACATTCTTCTCTCACAAAAAAACTCAAAAAAGCCAAAAAGTCCTTCCCAAATCAAGCTTTTAAGCCCAGGCTAAAATAGTTAAAAAAGTCAAAAAACTAAAAAGTCAATTCACTTCCCAAACAGGGGCTTATTGAATTTTCTATTTTACTAAAAAATCATATAAATAATATCCAATAATAATCTGAGAGTTTTTATTAATTTTCCAGACGCAGTAAAGCCTCAACATCTGACATATTTCCGTTTTTTTTTTTTAAAGGACAACTCTGATCTAGAGTGGGACACCACATATATTTTACCCGTCTGGCATGTTAAAATCTATTTTTTTGCCGAGGTGGTGTAGAGTTCTAATTAGAACTTCTGCGGTACAGTTTTAATAAGCTGTCCAACAATAAAAAAAAAATAACAAAGTAAAAGACAAAAAAAGGAGAAGAAAAAAACAAATTAGAATTTCATTAAAGGTCTTTTTTTAGAGGTCTAAATCATTTTTCATTTTTTTATATGCAGAACATGTTCAAACCACACATACACATATGCTATGTAACAATCCGCAAATGGTGATTGTACTAATAAAATTTAGGATGGTGTGAATAAGTTTATTTTTTGATTTTTTTATAAAATATGAGTTGAATATGAGTTGGGTTTAAAGTTATATGATAGAGAAGTGATGTGACTTGAATAGAATAGTGACTTTTTAACTTTTTGACTTTTTAGATTATGACAAATAAGATCTTAATGACTATGGCTTGGTGAAATAGGGTCATTAGTAATATTATAAACCCATTTATTTTACTTAAAAAGTTATTTATAAATATTAATATAATTCAAATTCATTCCACACAAACTCCAACACATTCATTCAATCCCATCATACACACAAGTTCTAAACCCAAATTGGGCATTTATAGGGATTCTAAAAAAATTATCAAATATTCTACACAATACTCACACTATATAAATATTACGTATAATATTTAATAATTCATTTAGAATCTTTAACATTTTTTATATGATTATAACTCTTGAGGCAAATAGAGTTAGACCATTGGTCAGTTTATATATATATATATATCATTACGAAATCAAGGGTTGGATTTTATTTTATTTTATTTATTTAACTACAAGTATTTTCCCCTTGTATATTTGTGGATGATGTTTCTCTCCAGTTTAGTAATTAGATTGGAAGGTCCAGTCAAAGGGTCTGCGAATTTACTCTGAGCCTAACTTACTCTATGCCTACCTCAATGACTGAAATTGTTCATCTTCCAGTGATCGCCAAATTAATCATTCATACAAAATTCAAATTGATTAAATATAGATAATTTCATAACTGAATCATCTTTATTTTTAAAAAATTCATAATAGATAGTATAAGTGGTAAAAAGATAGCGTTTGATAGAGTTTTAGAATTATGACTTGAGAATAGAGTTGTATTTTGAATTTGTGAGTTTTGAAATTATGATTTGAATGTGGAAAATTTATTTGGTTATGAGTTTTGAAAAAAAATTTGAATTGAGTTTGAAATTTTTGATGTGACATATGATATTTGATTTAAAAATTTACAATTCATAACCAAATATATTACCCAAAATTTTATTCAAAATTCACAAAAAAATTTAAAAAAATTAAAAAAAATATTTTTTATTTAAAATATAAAAATAATAAGTGTCAAAAAAATAAAATAAAAAAAATACTGTTCTGGTCAATCAACCGGTGATTTGAATGTAGAAAATTTATTTGGTTATGAGTTTTAAAAAAAAATTTGAATTGAGTTTGAAATTTTTGATGCGACATATGATATTTGATTTAAAAATTTACAATTCATAACCAAATATATTACCCAAAATTTTATTCAAAATTCACAAAAAAATTTAAAAAAATTAAAAAAAATATTTTTTATTTAAAATATAAAAATAATAAGTGTCAAAAAAATAAAATAAAAAAAATACTGTTCTGGTCAATCAACCGGACGTCCGAAAAGACATCTGAAAAAATGACCAAATAGAAATATTTATAAAAATAGAAGTGAATGTGTAGTTAATTGCTAAAAATTATAACCAAACATCACACTCAAATAAGGAATAACTCTACCACAGAGAGCCCTCCCCCAAACCCGTACACGTGCAGGTTTCTCTGCAAACTCAGAGGCTTAAAACAATTAATGATATCTTTTTGAGCTTATTGTGGATGTGAGGAGGACCATCGGATTCGGCAGGGACATGTGGCGCTTTGGCGGAGGATTATTATTATTATTATTTTGTTTTTTTTATTATTTTTTATTTTTTTAATTTGAACTAAGGTTCGTAAAGTATATTATTTATATAAAAAATTAATTTAATTAAAAATCTGTAATCCCCTGATTAGATTCAAATTATTTTATAAAAATTATCAAGATAATGTTATCTGTATATTTCTAAAAAAATAAATGTGCTCTTATTATAAAATTATAGATTTCCGATTAATTTATTTTTTTGCATGTATAGTCCATATAACGAACCCTATAATGTGAATGGTTCGAATCATAAAAAAAATCTCAAAAAAAGCCTCTACCAGGACATCACAGATGGCTGTTGTAACTTAGCATCCCTTGGTCCGAGAAGCCTCTAGTGAAGAAATTCCAATCTTGCTACAGTGACGTGTCTATTCCATTCAACTAATTCCCAACGAATTCCATTTGTGAAATTTTAATAATATAGTATAGACTATAGTTCGCACTTGACATCAAACTATTTAATTTTATTTTTATATCTTGACACCATGTATGAGCCAAACACACACTAGCTAGATATATAGTTGCCAGTTTCGATTACCACGACCATTCAATATGCTAGATATCTCTCAGTCCTGCGGCTTTAAATATGAAAAATAAGTGCTCAAGCTACCAACATTTCCATCTGGAGTTCATCTATTTGCACAACCACCCTTTCACAGAAAACGATCATACTACAATAACATAGAACAGATCACAAAAAAAAGATCAGGGGTGGTTCAATCATAAAGCAAGTAAAGTGGTCACTTTAGGCTCTCGATTTCAACAGGCCCCTAAGTTATAACTTTTTTTTTTTTTTTTTTTTTTTTTTTCAGACTTAAAAAAATATAGTCCTTAAAAGTTTATAAAAGAATCTTCTCTTATAAAGATCTAAAAATAAATTTTTATACAAAATAGTGTCGATTCTTATGATTTCTTCATTTCTAATTAAAACTGCTACCATTGCTCTCATAATTTTACAAATGTTATTGCTACACTACATTACTCTTGTCATAAATTCTATAAATGTACAATTTTCTAAAAAATATCATTATTAAAAGTCCCAATCCTAAATACCAAAGGTACTTTTCTTATCGAAGGCCCATGACAAACCTCTCATTTAAAAAAGAAAGGGTAAACTAACAATAGGTTATAATAGTTAAGACTTAATTCTTATTTCCTATTAAAAATAAGTCATAGTAAAATCATCGCTAAAAATAATTTTTTTTGACGATTTTTTGCGTATGTCGTTAAAAATTGATAATTGCAGACTTTTTTTTGTCACGATTTTTATAAATTATCGCTAAAACTTATAATTAGTGACGTTTTTTGGTGACGAATTTTTCAAACTGTCGCTGAAAGTTAAAAATTAATGACTTTTTTGTGACGATTTTTTTAATATGTCACTAAAACTTATGATTAGTGACATTTTTGTGACAATTTTTAAATTGTTGCTGAAAATTAATAATTAGTGACTTTTTTTAACAGTATTTGATAAAAAAATGTTATTAATTCTTATAGAACTATTGAATAATAAATTCGCTTATTAAAACCTACAAGTAAGCCTCTCTAAAAAACAAATTCAAAAACTTTTCTTGATTGTCCAATTGTAAATGCTAAAATATATTTTTATCCAAAATTTTTTTTTTTTTGATCGACAAAAAAAGTCTTTATTGATTAAAGCAACCAAAAAAAGATAGATAGGTAAAAAATTGCGATAAAAGGTACTAATAGTAAAGGTTGCAGGTAAACTTTCTATTCGTACAAAGGCTAAAAAATCAAGAAGAAGAAAAAAAAAAAAAATTTGCTTGACAGAAGGTACTAATAGTAAAGGTTGTAGGTAAACTTTCAATAATTCATGTACTAGAAAATTAAATTTTAAGTACAAATAATTATAAAAATTTGTTAATTATTTTTAAAATAAAGTTATACGTATCAATTAATGTAATGATAAATGATGTGATATAATTTTAAAGATTTGAATCTTTGTAATTTGTATAATTAGTATGGCTTATAATTTTAAATTTATAATGTTATAACATATGTTAATATATTAATTGATATATGAATTGCTATATAGTGTTATTTTAAATATAAAAGAGTTCTCCGATTAACATTTTACTTCTCATTGAGGGTCGGGCCTAAGAACGGTCCCACTGTTTCATCTATATAAGATGAACATATACTAACAAGAAATTGCCAAGCAAGTCCAAAGTTGGTTTCTTCATAAAAACTCAAAGGGTAGAAGATCCAACTAATCTCTATTCTCTGTTTGGCTTTTCAATAATCCCTATCCAAGCACTAATGCTAGCTCATCTTATTGTGGATTTTAAAATCAAATGGAGGAGAGTTTGAGTAATAGAATATAATAAAAAGAGATATATATATATATATATATAAAGTAAAGAAGGTGGGGAACAACATGATAAGGGTGTATTTTAAAATGATAAATAAAAGAAAGTTGAAGACAACATGATACCGGTGTGTATGGATGTGATAATGAGAGTGAAACAAACTTGGTGAGTGTGATTAAATAAATAAAAGAAGAATGGGTGTGCTTTCCTTAGTGCTCCTCTCTCTGCCTTCAAAGTCGAGATTGTTCTCTCCAAACGAAGGCTCAACATTCAAATCATTGTAGTCCTCTGAAAAGGTTCTAACCCTCACCCTAGTTCGAGGTTAAGGTCGATTCACTCCGGGTCTGTTGGGTCTCTGACTTCGAAGCTGAAGGTAAGATGATTCAAGGTTCGGAGGCGGTGGTAGTGGTGGTGGTGTGGTGGTGGTTGATTGGAGTCTCTGCAAAGCGAGAGACTTGGCGCGAGTTCGAACGCCGAGAGAGGACTGAGAGACTAGCTCCATTACTGCTATGTCACCAGTGAATCTGAACCCTAGGACGAGGCTGATGAGACAGCAGAGGCCGTGGAGGACTAGCCAGAATACCGCTGCCGGAGATTTGGATCCGCCGTCGATTGAAGGCTCCAACGGCGGTGATCCTCTGAAGCTGTTGCTCCGGTGGTTGGTGTAGCTCTGCTGGAGCGCCGACAGCTTCATTTTCTTTCTCTCCTCCGACAAAGGGTTGAGGAATCCGCGCAGATGGTGTGAACTGGTTTGAAATTGGGATCTGAATTGGGTGTTTGGAGACAGAGAAAGTGAGGTGCCGAGAGGGAGAGGGAGGTTTGAATTGGTTGAGATCCGGCGGGCGGTCAAGGCAAGGTTGCCGCCCACCGGAAGGCGAAGAACACCAAGATCTTTAACCTTGCTCTGATATCATGTTAAAATTGATGTATTATTGATTGAGATATATTACAAATGGTGAGGGGCTCCTTATATAGGAGATGTAGGTGTAGTGGAGTAGGTGAAATGGAGTAGGTGGAGTAGGTGTAGTAGGTGGAGTAGGTGGTGGTAGGTGTAGTAAGTAGAGTAGGTGATGGTAGGTTTTAACAGAATCTTCTCTTATAAAGATCTAAAACTAAATTTTTATACAAAATAGTGTCGATTCTTATGATTTCTTCATTTCTAATTAAAACTGCTACCATTGCTCTCATAGTTTCACAAATGTTATTGCTACACTACATTACTCCTGTCATGAATTCTATAAATGTATAATTTTCTAAAAAATATCATTATTAAAAGTCCCAATCCTAAATACCAAAAGTACTTTTCTTATCGAAGGCCCATGACAAACCTCTCATTTAAAAAAGAAAGGGTAAATTAGCAATAGGTTATAATAGTTAGACTTAATTCTTATTTCCTATTAAAAATAAGTTATAGTAAAATCATCGATAAAAATAATTTTTTTGACGATTTTTTGCATATGTCGTTAAAAATTGATAATTACAGACTTTTTTTTGTCACGATTTTTATAAATTATCGCTAAAACTTATAATTAGTGACGTTTTTCGGTGACGAATTTTTCAAACTGTCGCTGAAAGTTAAAAATTAATGACTTTTTTGTGACGATTTTTTTAATCTGTCGCTAAAACTTATGATTAGTGACATTTTTGTGACAATTTTTAAATTGTTGCTGAAAATTAATAATTAGTGACTTTTTTTAATAATATTTGATAAAAAAATGTTATTAATTCTTATAGAACTATTGAATAATAAATTCGCTTATTAAAACCTACAAGTAAGCCTCTCTAAAAAAAAAAAATCAAAAACTTTTCTTGATTAATGAGTCCAATTGTAAATGCTAAAATATATTTTTATCCAAATTAAGCTCTAAAAAAATTTCTATTCGTACAAAGGCTAAAAAATCAAGAAGAAAAAAAAAAAAAATTGGTTGACAAAAGGTACTAATAGTAAAGGTTGTAGGTAAACTTTCAATAATTTATGTACTAGAAAATTAAATTTTAAGTACAAATAATTATAAAAATTTGTTAATTATTTTTAAAATAAAATTATACGTATCAATTAATGTAATAACAAATGATGTGATATAATTTTAAAGATTTGAATTTTTATAATTTGTATAATTAGTATGGCTTATAATTTTAAATTTATAAAGTTATAACATATGTTAGTATATTAATTGATATATCAATTAGTATATAGTGTTATTTTAAATATAAAAGAGCTCTCCAATTAAGATTTTACTTCTCATTGAGGGTCGGGCCTAAGAACGGTCCCACTGTTTCATCTATATAAGATGAACATATACTAACATGAAATTGCCAAGCAAGTCCAAAGTTGGTTTCTTCATAAAAACTCAAAGGGTAGAAGATCCAACTAATCTCTGTTCTCTGTTTGGCTTTTCAATAATCCCTATCCAAGCATTAATGCTAGCTCATCTTATTGTGCAGGTTAATCCAATGGAAGCAATATGTGAAAATGGAGGATTCATACCTATTAGCAAATCAGAGCCCATCTTTGTTCAACCCGAAACAAGCTTAAACACCAATCAAGGGTTCTATTTTCTGTCCAACCTCGATCAGAACATCGCGGTGATAATCCAAACAGTGTATTGTTTCAAACCAGATGAGAATAAGAGCAGTGACAATGTCGGTGACGTGATTAAACGGGCCCTGGCTAAAATTTTAGTCCATTTTTACCCCCTCACGGGGAATTTGAGGGTCAGCTCGGATGGTAAGCTCATCGTGGAGTGCACGAATCGTGGCGTGCCATTTGTCGAAGCTGAGGCAGATTGTAACATGGATGTGCTTGGAGATATAACTGTTCCTGATCCGGGGATGTTGGGAAAGCTGGTTTACACTGTTCCTGGAGCCAAACACATTTTGGAAATGCCTCTGCTTACTGCACAGGTAACAAAATCATGCATGTTTTATGTTTTGGAAAAATGTTAAATACAAATTTCTTATCAGATTTTTTTATCAGTAAATAAAAAGTAATGAGTTCAATGTGTATTTATTAATGAGTTTCACCATCTTTGTATTTAGTGATGAAAAAATCAGATAAGAAATTTGTTTATATATAATTTTTCTCAAATACTTATGCTACACGTAAACTTTTTGGAGCAATACTATACATAATTTTCTTTTTATTTTTATTTTTTTGCTTCTAGACACAAAATAATAGGGTCGCATCAACAAATGTATTCAGTCTCATATTTAGAAGTGAGAAAAAGATATAAAAAACATGATTATATGGAGCATTTTATGATGTCACTATTAAAAAAGATAATGTCGCGCGTATTCTATCACAATATATGTAATGGGCAGAACTTATTTCAAATTTATATATGAACATGAGAGAACTATTTGAACGCGTGAGATCCACCAGATATCTCGTTTCAATGATTTGAACAATTCATTTTGTGAGGCTTTTCGTGGATATCATTAAAGAAAAATATTAGGTCAATTTGGAAATTGTAACATTTTTATTTTGTCATGTTTGTTTTTGAAAAAATAAACAAGTTTATTTTATTTTATTTTTAAATTAGATCATCTAATTTTTTAGAAACAAACACAATGAAATGAAAACAAGCACAATAAAATAAAAATACCTACAATTATCAAACCAATATAATTTTTTCTATAGATAATATATACGAATGGACTTATAAAATGAACTCTTTAGGTTATCGAGGCATGATCGATGCCCGAACAATTCACTTAAGTTCAAATACGTGATATAATCATAACTATAATATTTTGTAACAAATACAAAAACACACAAATAGACTTTTAGGAGAGTTAAATTAAATTTCCTTTTTTGTACATCATAATAATAACATTTCATTTTTTACATCATGATAGGGTGTGCACTCATACAAAAACTTAGAATTGTATTTTGAGTTGACGTTTTGGTGATTTTTTTTTTTATATCTTTTTATGAAAATATGTTTAAAAAAATAGGGAAAATAAATTGATAATTTATAATGACTTTTTGATTAAAAATCTTATTTCTCAAATAAGGCCTTTATTAAAACTTTCATAAAATTGTGTGTTTAAAATAAGATTTCATTTTTTTAAGTCTTGCACTTATTGTATGATTCAATGAAGTAGAGTTTTTAAAAACACTACTTCAGTATTTTTATGAAACAAGTTGAATTTAAAAAAATAAGTAAAAAATCACTTGAAATAGAAAAAGATAAAAATATAACGAGGCCTTTAAAATATGACTTCAAACTCAGAACTATATTTTTATAAATGAAATAAAATTTAAAAATCATGAAATTAAAAATAAGATACCAAACTATGATTTGGTGAAACATTCCCTTGTGATGTGGGGGCAGTGGGAACAATGGGATTGGTACTAGAGCTAACTTTTGTAGCTTTCTAATTAATGTATGTTCTTGATGATTTGATGCTCAAACTATAGGTTATAGCTCGATAAAAATAAAAATAAAAACAATAGGTTATAGCTATATTTGAACAAGCAAAACTATGGGGAAAATTGCAAATAAGTGGAAAGATTAAAAAAAAAATAAATTGCATATCAATGATAAAGCTTATTAACTTTAATAATTAAAGTGATAAACATTTTCATGATTTTGCAATTGTTTTGGGATCTTTATTCACATATAGTTAAAAAAAAGGTTAATTTTTTTATTAAAAAAAGAATTAGAAATTTTTTAAAAAAAAATTATGTTAATTTTTTCACTTATCACGTCTGCCTTGTCTAAATGAATCTAGAACAATTTAAAAAAAAAAAAATTCACTAAAAAAAAGTCAAATTTGAATTCCAAGAAAAAATAATGTAACATATTTCTTGGTTCTACTCAATTAGATAGATTGAAAAAAATAAAAATAAGTATGACTAAATATTAACAAATGATATACATATAACATGACAATATTATATAATACATATTTGTTCCAAAAAAAAAATTATATAATACATAAAGTTCTTTGTTGATCGTACCGAAATTAAATCCGATAAAGACATATAATTTCATGTGTGTTCAACAAAGCCCTAGTTTTTATATGGTAACATGTCAAGTAAAATAAAGTTGCAACTCAGTTGGGTCCAAATCTAAATTAAAAAATATATTTTCAAAGTCTTAAAAAATACAATTTCCCTTATCTATCTATTCATGTGTTCATTTATCTGTCCACTGTCGCCGTTTGCTAGAAAATTTCCCAATGAGTGACATTTGATAGTAATGTTGAATCAAAAAATAAAAAAATAAAAAAATAGAAAAAAAATTAACTAAAGGCGAAAAAATTAACCAAAAAATCACTAAATAAGTAAATTCCAAACACCCATTGAATATATTTGAAAGCTTGTTAATAAATTTTATCCTAGCAACTTTACATAACAGGTGTTAAATCTGAAATTGTAATTGCAAAACTATAAGATTACTAATAATTTTTTTGAGGAAACTATTACATTCATTAATAAATCAACTAAAATTAATTTAGATAGTTACAACTTGTAAATCAAAAGTTTTTTTTTTTTAATTTTAAATTAAAGCATCTTAGATACCCAAAAAAAAATTAATTTGAAATTTGGTTGAAATACTAAGAGCTTATTTGGCTAAAAAAAGTACAAACTTTTAGTCCCAAACTAAAATAATTAAAAAACCAAAAAAAAAACAACTAAAAAAAATCAATTGCCAAAACCGACAACTAAATTGAGGAAGATGCTTGGTACTGTGTGGCGATCACAATAGCAATAAATCTATAAGGGTGTATTTGTTTGAACGGACTGGATAAAGAGGGATTGTAATCTATTGAATTGTTACTCCTGAGATACATTATCCCCGGACTATTTGGTTGATCTAGATTTGTATCTTATGTTTGTTTAGTCATAGGATTAGATGTCTGGATTGGATTATTTTATTGAATCCAATGTTTGATTGGATAGATTGGATAAGGATAAATGTTTAAAAGACTATTTTAGCCATTGTAATTTATAATTTATATTTTTTATTTAATATATAATTTGTAATTTGTAATTTATAATTTATAATAATCTCTCACAACAAACACACTCTAAATGTATTTCATTTGACAATGATGAGGTAGAGCCTTTATTTGATTTGATCTAATAGGACCTTTGTTTGAATTGACCCGATAGAACCTTTAC